TGTCATTTTGTTGGGCTGCTTCCCATTTGTGCCTAATTAGCATAATTCACAGTGGCTATCTGCACCATTGAGTGAGTGTTAGATTGCTTTTGCTGTGTTTAATGATCATACTGAATTCCACTTCTTTGTGAGCTAAGCCTTCACAGGTTGTTGCATATGTAGCATGGCTGGCTGCTCACACAGTAGAGGAATTGGACAGCGTGCCCCTGGTGAGGTGAAGACAGGAAAGGCTGTGTGGACATATGGATCTGAGAGAAGTGGGCTCTTGGGTGGCTGAAGGTATGAGCTTTGGCCAAGCAGGAAGCAACACTGATGGAGAGGGGGAAAGTCTGAGGACGGTGATGATAAAGACTGCGTTTTGGGCAGGGTTCTGAAGAGACATCATCTGTGATGATGACCAGGTCAAGAAAACTGTGAGGGCAGCATTTGCAGTGGCCAGGCTGAATATTCACTTTCTTTGTTGGAACAAGAAGTGTTGGTGCTTAAAACCATAAATTGTTTACTCTTCGTTTTTTTCCAAGAGATAACTGAAGCTTAGTAATCTGACTTGCCCATGGTCTTCCTTAGCTAATGATGCTCTAAAGACTGAAATCCAAGCCATCTGAATCCATCCTCTATTAAAATATATTCCTTCCTTATTATAAAGTCAGATCTTGGTTTTTTTTTTTTTTTTACTTTTTGCCAAAACATCAGCTTCATCAGAGAGTGGACTTTGCTTTTTGTGCATCTGTATGCCCACCACCTTGGATAGGGCTGCCCTGAGACAAACAAGGACTCTAAATCCATTCCTGCTACTAACTACATACCATAGATTAGATGATGTATAAATAATAGATAACGGATATTAAATATGAATCATTGAACTTGCAAAGTCCAATATCATGGTGCCAGTGGATTCAGTATCTCACAAAGGCTTTCTCTGATTCTAAGATGGCACCTTCTCAGTGCATTCATGGTAGCAAAGTAAAGAGGGGAAATGCTGTGTCTTCACAAGGTGGAGAAGGTGGAAGGGCCTTGCAGTGCTCTGAAGTCTCTTTCAGAAGGGCATTAATCTCTGTCACAAGTAATTATGTTACTAACATGACTAATCATAATATAATCACTTCCTCAAAGGCCCCACCTCCTAATTGGTTCTCAACAATGAGGATGAAGTTTCAACATGAATTTTAGAGGGATATACACCCTGAAGTCATAGAAGTTCTCTTCTCCCTTTCTTGGTTCTGTGGGATGGAAGCCATCTTTTCCTTCCATAAACCAGGTCTGAGCACATCCAGACTCTTAGGAATCCAGGCTTTAGCAAGGAGGGGCTGGGAGAGGGAAGGCAGGCAGTTGCCCCTGGTTCCCCAGCATTCTGTCCTGTCCTGGGGTGCACAGTGGACAGCAATTTATTGAAAGTCATAGCACTAAAGGAAAAAAATGAACCAGTGCATATCAACTAATGATGAAACTTCCAACCCCTAAAAATGACAAATGCCCTGGTTCTCTACCCCCTCACATGCCTGTCTTCCTGCAAAGGAAGAAATAATGTGATTTCATTTTCCAGGAAACTTATTATTCATCTATTCAATAACCTTTACATCCTGTTAACAGTTTGACTTCTCTTACTTCTGGAAGTTTGAAGCATCGTTTCTTTAGTTGAAGGAGTTTTTAAAAAGAAAAAAAGGAAAGCTTAGAGCTCAAGAAATAAAGAATAATACTGTGATCATAACAACTCATTATTTGTTTTCAAGCTTGATCTTTCAGAAGGTTATTATTTGGAATTGAATACTAATGGATTCAGGTTCTCTTTATGCAGAGAAGGTCTTCAACAACAGTGTTCATAGGAAAAGACATTAATCAGGAGAGAGAAGTGAGCCTTGTTCCTAATAATGTTTGCATAATAGCTACCCTTGGGTATATTGCTTGACTTAAAAATAAATATTCATGCTTTCCATATTCAGTACAATGGAGATTATTTGTGGTTATGATTCTATTATATGATTCTCCAAGTATTCATGGGGACATCAAACTGGGAGGCTGTTGGACACCAGCAAACATAAATAACAATGCTTGTGAATGTTCTGGGGTAGAAGTAGAAAGAGGCTCCACTGCAGGCAATCCCGGGGAAAGAGCTAAGAGCAGGTCATAACTGTTTTCAGAAGGAGAGAAGCAGAATCAAACTGGCCTGTGTAAGGACATTTATATG